CCTGCCGAACCGCCACTGATCAGCATCGATGCAGGGTCCGCCATGGACGACTGCTTTGCTTTGCCGGTGCATGTGGTGGGCAGGTGGCGCTGTAGGGCGCGGTAGATACGCTGCACCACACCCAGCCGCGGCTGGATGCCAGAAAAGAGCGATTCGATGCGCGCACCCTTGCCGACGCGCGTCACGAGCGCAAGGTAGTCGACCACGCTAAAGTAGCGCATCCCCTCGGCGACGTAGACATCCATCACCGTGTCTTGCGGTACCAAACGCGAGCTGGTTCGACACAGCACCTTGCGACCGAAGAGCGATAGCGCACGTTGGGTAGACAACTGCACCCCAAGCCCGGGAATCACAGCTACCGTCTCGGCACAAACCCTACCAGCCTTGCTCGCCACATACGGCAACACCGCCATCGTCGCCACTCCAGCCGTAAGCACTCTACGTCCAGCCACGGTGCCTGCACGCAGAACGCTCGGGATACAGTGGGACCACCTCTGCAACCACGCGGGCAAGTACGTCGCAGCTACCACTGCCAACCCCACCGAGGCACCACCCAGCACAACGTCGCCCCACCCCCAAGCTGGCCTCGTGTTGCGCAGTGTCACCTTGCACCCACTTGCTCCTTCCTCCACCGTGAGTGCCTCTGCCTGCTCGGTTTCGCCTTGAATGAGCCTGCGCACCTCGTCCTGCTGACTGCGACTGAGCTGTGCAAACGACTTGTCACCCACGCTCGCCGAGGATCCCAGGAACTTGGCCGCCGCCACGCAGTCGACTACGTCCGTCACGCCCCATTCGCCCGTCAACCGCTCGAGGTACTCTCTACCATAGCCCGTGCTACCGCCATAGTTGACCGCACACACCATGAATCCCCTGCTCGTCCAGAACTGCGTCGCCAGATTGAAGCCCATCCCGGCGCTGCTCGACGGTCCGCCGTGGATGGTAAACACGCACGGCGGAAGCGTCCCCTCCGGCGCCACATAGTCCCTGTTCTTGGGCTCGAACACCAGCGCATGCGCAGTGGCTGGCTTGCCGTCCGGCAGCGTCGTGGGGAACTCGATCTCGCGCGCCGCGCTCAGATACGCCCGATCCACAGCACCGTCCGCCACGAGCGTCGATGACCGCTTCATCACCGTAATGTTGGCCGGCTGCACCACGTACCCTCCCGCCGCGAGGCCGCGCAGATCGATACGCACCAGCGCCGTAGGCTCGTCCGGCTGCGTCGCGAGCAGCACAAACGACGTCGCAGTCAACCGGCGCAGCTGCGAACACGACACGTACGGCGTCGTGAGCGGAATAAGCCGCGGGCGACGAAGGTTGATGAGGCCCAGTCGATCCTTGGCACCCTCAGTGTACGTGACGACGAGCATGTCGGGCGACAGCGCCACGTAGTCCGAGTTGTTGCTCGTCCAGCACGGTGCACTAAAGTCGTGCGGTACGGGCTCCGGAAGCACCGACTCGGGCGCAGCAACCACCAGAGCCGCCTCGGATTGGGAGCTGACGGTCGTAGAGTAGAGGTTCAAGAATCCCGTGGCGTCGCAGGTGAAGAAGAGCCTGGCTGCGTCGTCGGCTGGATTGGCAGGGATGCCCCAGACGGGGTTCTGGAGCACCTGCTGCTTGGCGCCAGCACCCGCTGCGGCCGGGACCTTGATCTGGGTGGGCGAGACGAGCCTGGGTGCAGCTGGGTCTGTGAGATCGAGCCTGGCGACCCACAGCTGCGTGTCCCACCACGGCATGCTCGGGTGGTTCCAGCTGACCCAGCAGACGTACTTGCCGTTGGGCGAGAAGCGTGCAAACGTGTAGAAGTCGCGCCTCTGCGGCCCGTCTCTCTCCGTCTCCTCGTCGGCTTTCTTGCCCCGCAGCAGCGTATGCACCTTGGCCGGCGTGCTCGACATGTCCAGCATGACGATCGAGTTGACCACCGTCGAAGGCGTGTCGTCCGTGTGATCCTCCTCGATCGCCAGGCACAGATCCGCATTGCTCGGGTGCGCGCCAAAGTCGGCATACCGAATCGCAGGATTTTCGGGCGTCACCACCTTGGGGTCGTGACCGTGTGCGGCTCGAAGCACGTCGAACGACTTGTGGTTGTAGTCCGAAAAGATGAAGCTGCCGTCGGCCAGGCTGGCTGCTGCGCCGCCGCCGTACTCGTGCACGCCCGAGCGCGCGTTGTACTTGCCGGCGCTCACCTCGACGGCGTCATCGGACGAGAGCGTCGAGGTGTGCATCAGCGCATACCGGCCCGCTTCGCTCATGCGCAGCTCGACCCATGCCACATCTTGGCCGCCCTCGGCGTTGGCGGGCACCAGCACTTCTTGCAGGCCCGTGGCCTTCTGCAGCAGCAGGTCGGTGGTGATGGGCGACTCCCAGAAGCCGTACTTTGCCACCGTCTTGGATGATTTGGAGGACGCCATTGCTCGCAAACTGACTGCAAGCGACGGGGATAGTGGAACAAGGTGGGAGAGAAGGAGGGGAGGCGGAGCAACTCAGCGCGCGAGGTTGAAGAGAAGACGAAGGTCTGTGCTTCCGCTGCCGAGACCCTTCGGCGAGGAGCCTTCCGAAAAGACCGATGGCGACAAATCGGCAGAACGCATCGGGCAACCCAAGTGGAGGTTGGTTCGGACTCAGCCTTTGTACAGGCCCCACCTCCTCCGTCCTCACCACCACGATCGTCTCAACCTTGATCGGTGGGTGCACTGCAGCAACACAATGAGTGCGGCACCGCCACGGAAACAGTTCACGCAGCGCAACGTGTTCTACCTGCGCGCGTCGCCGTACGTGGTGCTGCAGACGATCCTGTACCTCGACTACCGGCACGTAGCATGGATGAACGAGCATCCCGACATCCTCACGCAGGTGCTCTCGGTCCTGCGCACGCGCATCATGCCGAAGCTGCGCAAGGAGTCCGACACGTCTGGAAAGCTGTCGGCGATGAGCAAGAAGGAGCGCGTCGATGTCTACTCGGACCGCGACTTTCAGGTGGCCTACTTCTTCCGCCGCATGGACGACCGCCACTCTGTGCTGCTCAAGGAAAAGAGCCTCGTGTTCCCCGCGGACCCTACGCTTGCAGAGGTCAAGGTTGAGGACGAGGGCAACGCCAACCTGCATGCGCCCATTCCGAGGGCGTCCGCAACTCCGGCACCCGCAGCCGCTATGACCCCAGCAGGAGGGAGTTCGAGCGAGGCGGCCGTGCAGATCAAGGACTCGCCCGAGCCGGAAGCATTGCCGTCTTCGCCCAACGCTAGCATGGCCTCATTATCGGGCGCGGACGACAACGCTCTTTTTAGGGGCCTCGGAGAGGACGACGACGACAGCCTTGCCATGCCCCCACCTACATCCACACGACGGCGGCGCGGCACAGTTGATGCGGATACCAGCACCACTGCACCGCGACGCTCGAAGCGCGTGCGCATCCAAGAAGACATCAAACCCGACCCGGCCACCGAATCCACCGACGACCCGCCTGCTGAAGTTCCTCTACCGGCAAATGACTACGATGACTACGACGCCGACAATGCTGCGATCGTAATTACCGAGGAGGACGAGGAAAAGATGAAGCCCAAGCTGCACGTCCGCTACGCCGGATTCCGAATGTAAGTCTCAGCCACCCTCCTGCTTTCTCTCTACTCTCTCTGACATTTCTTTGACGCGTGGAAACAGATTCGGCAAACTGTTGGTTCTGGTGGTGGAGCCGTCGAAGCGGACTTTGGCGGCGCATCCGGAGCTGTTTGGCGACAAACCCAGCGTCGAGGTGCGCCAGCTGTCTGTTGCGCGCGTGTCCGCCACACCTGGCGCAAGCAGCCGGGGCGAAGTCCAAGCGCGCTTTACATCGCTCGGGCCAGCGGAGGGTTCGAGTCGCAATGCCAGCGTTGGCCGCGGCGCCACACCGCTCTTCCGAGGCGGTTCGGCGTTCAGCGACGCCGGTACGCCCGGTCCTGCGAGCACAACAGAAACGCCCGCACCCGAAGAAGCGCAAAGGGGCCAAGACGAGGATGTGGCAGAGCTCGAGGGGATCGAGTTGGCGACGCAGATGCTTGCACGCGAAGAGCAGACGATCGGCGGCAACGATCTCGACGATGGCGACTAGTAATTCAGCTATGATTTCAGGATGCATCGCATGCGGCTGGCCACCACTTGTCCTGTAGCTGCACGTCGGCTGTGCGTGCATCGAGCGTGCCAAAGCGTTGACCCTTTGCATGAACCTCGAGCAGTGCCGACTGCACCACCGCCCCTGTCGACGAGTGAAAGCCATCGGCTTGCTCTTCAGTCTGCGGTGGGGCTAGGTCGATGGTACACGCGTTGGCAATGTACGTTCCCGCATCCTCCAGACTCGTTGCAAACGGGGCCCACGGGAGGATGTAGGACATGGCGAGCCTCGTCATGAGGCCCGACTCGCGACACAGCTGCGTCTGTGGTACAAAGCCCGGCTGCACCACCACCACCTCCACCCTTCCTCTTGGCACCCGTCGCTTTTCGAAATCCTCCTCGAGCCTGCGTCGGAGCGCACGCACGCCGAGCATCTGAAGGAACTTTGACGCCGCATAAGTCTCGCGCAGCGTCCAAGCCTTGGTCTCACCCGTTGACGACGCTGCAAAGAAGCTATCCAAATCGGCGATATCCTTGAGGCTGCGATGCAGTGCGCTGCCGGTAAAGACGATGCGTGTATGTCGACCGTTTCTGGCATTCTTTGCTATGGTCGGTGCGAGCATCGAGACCAACACGAGATGCGCAACATGATTCACGCACGCCGTCTCCTCCACCCTGCCATTCGCATCCACCATCCCATCGGTCGGATACTCCACAGTGCTGGAGACTTTGTCCGTGTCGACGACGGTTTCGCGGCTTGACTTTGCAACGGCGGCGTTGAGGAGCAGGATATCGGTTCCCTCGGCCGAGTCGGCCAGTTGGTGCTGCAGTGCCGACGCTGCTTGTCGTACGGACGAGAGCGAAGCAAGATCCAGAGGCTTGATCTGCAGATCCAGTGTGCACGATGCGCGGCTGGCGGTGCGGTATTGTGCCACGAGTCGATCGCGCGCCTGGACGACGCGGCTGGCGGTGGGATCGCGCACCAACAGCGTGAGACTGCACGGCGTGCGCAGGGCGGGAGACGCAAGGAGCGTCTTGAGCGCCTCGAATCCCAGACCCGAATGTCCACCCGTGGCGATGATGCGTGTCGCCATGATGCGCCCCAGTGCGTGTCGGAAGAGGAGGATGGTGGTGGAAGCCGAACCAGCGTGCGCTTGGTTGGTGGTGGAGGCCATGTGGAGGCGTTCGAGTCGACTTTGTTAGACCGGCGCTGTGTTGGCGCACGAATCCGTGCGACTTTGCTTGGACCCTGCATCGAGGCACAGCGCCCGAGGCACAGCGCCCGAGGCACAGCGCCGGAGCAAAGCCCAGGCACAGGCCCGCCTTGCGAGCAGCAACGGCGCCAACCGTGGCCGGAATTGTCGGCAAGCCTTACGTCCCCACCCGGCGCTCGAGTCGGGCTGAGATCCAGCGTCCACCGAGCGCTGCAACGCACGCTCATTGCTTGACTCGCGTGCTTCGGCGAGGGGAAGGCGGCCCCGAAGCCATGTGGCCCCGCTCGACGTTTCTTGTGCGCGCCTGTTTCTTACGCGACGTTGCTTCGTAATGCATCGCGGCCGGCTGCGAGATGAGGGCGCTGCGAGATGAGGGTGCTGCGAGATGAGATTGTGATGCGGTCCGTTCCATAGACCAGAAGCGCAAGTATGCATCATGCGGAAGAAATGCAAGCCATGCGAATGTGCTGCGACATGCCTTTGCCGCGTCTCCAGCTCGCCAGCCACTGCAGCAGTGCTGCCAGCATGACAGTCGCCAGTACGATGAGCGCTCTCTGCTCGAGCTTGTGTCGAGACTCGTTCGTGGAACGACGATAGAGAGAGCAAGGTGTGGGGATCCGTGGCTACCCCGCAAAGTGGCTTCCACCTGCCTAGGAGATTCTGGGCGTGGAACAACGTAATTCCACGCTCAGCCGGCTGCCTCGGAAAGGCGACTCCACAAAGAAAGCCGCGGCGAGGACCCTTCGCCCACCGCACCTTTCACTTGCTCCGATCACACCACCATCAACCCCCCAACCGCCAGAAACCCGCTCCCGCTGCCATGTCGTACAAGAGCGAGGACGAGGCGCATGCCGCCTTCGAGCTCGTCTCCATGCGCCATGGTCGTGCGAGCGTGTCGTTCGAAAACTCACCCACTCCCTCCGCGTCCCCCAAAAAGCGCGCCAAAGCAGCGTCCGACCCAAAACCATCCACATCCAAAAAGCCCGCCGACGACACTACCGACACCAAGGCCAAGAAGCGCAGGAGGGTCGTGGTGGCGTGCGACACGTGCCGCCGCAAGAAGATCAAGTGCGAGGGGCTGCCGAATCCGTCCAACACGTGCAACAACTGCACCGCCTACAACTACCGCTGCACCTTCAGCAGCGACGCCGACCGCTCCCGCGGCAAGTACGAGATCCTCGAGAGCAGGGTCGAGACGCTCCTCAGTGCGCTGCGCTCCGTTGCGCCGCATGTGGCGCAGCAGTACGAGCGCGGCGAGCTCAACGTCACCGGTCCCAGCGGCTCGAGTGCCCCGCCGCAAAACGCAAATGCGTGGCAGTCGCTTGCCAGTCACAAGACCGGCGTCGAACATGGCGACGATTCGGATCTGGCGCCAGAGGATGCCTCCTACAGCTCCGCACACGCACGCCACGACACCGAGCTGCCGTCCAGCTCGGCCGTACGACTGCAGCGCGGTGGCAGCGATCCGGACGAGCCAGCCCAAGCACCCAGAAACGCCTCGGGTCAGACGGGCGCCACTGCTCCCTCGAGCCGCGAGGAGCGCGATGCGCTGCTTCCCGATGTCGAGGACGGAAGGCCGCGCTACTTTGGCCACTCGTCCGCCATGACGCTCTTCAACACCATCGCCGCCGACAGTCGTCCCCCGAGTCCAGGCGCAGGATCACGACACGCCCACACCACCAACCACGCCGGCATCAGCTACGAGACCCACCGCCACGGCTCGCACAGCAAAAGCAAGTCGGCTGCCACCCCGATAGCAGGCTCTTCATCGGCGGTGCCAGCGTCTGCATCCGGCACAGCAGCAAAGGGCGCACCACGGCCGCTCTATCCAACCAACTCCAAGGAGTGGATTCAGCTGCTACGGCGCAAGAACACCGTCGCTGTCGGACGCGACGATGCGGTCACCGAAGAGTGGTTCGAACGCTACACGCTGCCCGACCAGGACCTCATCCGCGACCTGCTCGACCTCTTCTTTGAAAAGCTGCATCCCCTCATGCCCATCGTGCATCGCCCCTCTCTCGAACGCGACTTGGCCTCGGGCCGCGCCGACGTCGACTCGGCCTTCCGCGGGTTCGTCTTTACGATTCTGGCGATTGCGTCGCGCTTCAGCAACGATCCGCGCGTGCTCGCCGACTCGGGCAACCCGGATACGGCGGGGGGCCC